AATGCAACAAAAATGCTTTTTGGATATGAAAATATTGTAGCCTTACTCAGATGTTTTTAGAATTAAGGCTCCCGACTTTTGATTGTATTGTGTCTAACTGTAGGATCAATTTAAAGAAACAGCTTGTTGAGTGTGCCAAAAGAAATTTCACTGTTAATTTGCTTAACAATTTATTAAGACTGTCTGAGTAATAGGTTGTTGTGGATGACTGTATCTGTACTTTTTATTTATTAACTTTGTATCTATGGACCTTGTTTATAAGTGTATGATGTTTGAATTAAATACATTAATAATAATAATTATTATTTAACATAATGTTGTTAAATAATAATACTAATTATAATAATTTTGATAATACTATTATTAATATTGTTATTAATAATAGCATGTAATTATAATTATTAAATATAATAAAATTTATTAACTTGTTTTTATTATTAAACTATATTATAGTTATAAATTATAATTATGATGTTTAACATTATAATATGTTGTTAAATTATATTAATGTATAACTAATGGTTTTTAGATTAATACTTATGTTATATAATACTAATAATAATAAATACAATATTAATATTTTAAAAATTTATTATATTACTAATATAATTATATTGGGAGTTGAATCAATGACCATGTCTTTAGCCTAAACTAGTCATTGATTGACTAATTTAGACTTATGAGATTCTCAATCTACTCCCCTTGCCCATTACAGAATTTGTAAAAAAATAGCTACCAAAAGTACATCACTTTTTAGGGTATCTGCATCAAAATATTTTTTTCTAAAATTTGGCAGTTGCTTAGTGTATAAAGAAATATTTTATTAATTAAAAAAAAAACTTTAACATTCTTTTGACACTAATTTAACACCAGAATAACAATTAAATTTTCAGCATCAATAAAGTCAAATCAAAATGTGTCAACTATACATAAATATTATATAAAAGCCAATACATAAATATTATATAAAACTCTACTCTTCTATTTTTCAAAAAATTACAAAAAAATGTATATACATTTTTATAAAATAAAAAATCATTTCAAAAAAAACATTTCTCTGGCACTACTAAAAAAAGTTCAAATAACATCGGATAGATTTTTAACACTTTTTTTGGCTCAGTAAAGCGCAATATTTCCATACCTTTATAAAGTGACATAATTTAAATTTTAGAATAAATTAAAAGCAAGAAAAGAAGTGTTAAAGGCAAGATTTACTGATGAGCATAAGTTTATATTATCTATGGTTGCATTTGAACTTGAGCTTTCAGAAGAAATTGTTTTTGATTTTGCTGTTGAGTCTGAAGAGGTATTAAAGTATTGCTATTTTTATTTACATAATTATTAATTTTTTATTGTATTCACATAACTATCAATTTGTTATACAGTAGTATTGTAATAGTAGAACTCTTAAGAAGTTTCAATTTTAATCCGTGCTATTTCCATAAAACTTTTACCCTCAAATTGTTTTTCTGCTCAGCAATTTTGTTGGTCAAGGCTTGTGTTTTAGAGTTAAAAGGTTAAAAGAGGGTTGTAATAGCAATTTAAAAAAAAATCAATAGTCTCCTCAGCTGCAGTAAAGCTGAATACAGAGGAAAAATAATAAAAAAACCGCTAATCTCAGGTCACAAAATCTCGTATTTCATCTCTCACAACCTACCTGATATAGCTGACAAGCATATTGGTCTATTGCTAGACATTCAAATCGCTCCAGCTTCTGAATCTAAAGTGATTTCCTGATTAGACTCTTCCACAACATGTGGTCCGGAAAACATACCTGTTATAGTCTTTCAGAAGTGTTCTCTGGAGCAATCTATACTTTCAAAAGTATTAAACAAGTGCTTATCAGAATCTTGTTTTCCAGCCTGCTGGAAAGCAGCGTTTGTTATCTCTATTTAAAAAAATTCTGGAGAGTAGTCTGACTCATCTCACTACTGTCCCATTAGTCTTCTTACTATGATAATCAAGGATTTTGAGTCTATAATTAACAAACACTTAATCTCTTATCTTGAGTCTAATAACTTACTTTCTGATCATCAATATAGATTTTGATCTTCTTGTTCTACTGCTGATTTGTTATCGGTAATAACTGATAGGTTTTATTGTGCATAAGATGTGTATCAGTTAATATCTTTAAGATTGTTGATTCCTTCCTTACCAACCATAGTATAAAAGTTGACCTCAATGGACAGCACTTTTCTTCATTTCCTGTAACTTCAGGGGTTCCTCAAGGTTCTATTCTTGGTTCTATCCTTTTTTTTTATTGGTGGCATTGTTCGTTGATGATACAACCATTTATTCTTATCTTAATAAGAAGCCAACACTCTCTGATTGCTTGGAGGGGGTATTTAAGCTTGAAAAGGATTTCACTTATGCTACAGCATGGGGTTCTCGATGACTGGTGAACTTTAACTCAGATAAAACTCAATTTTTTTTCCAGCTAATTGTTATTGCAACAACCTAGATCTTTCTATATTTATGAATGGTAATATACTCAATGAGTATATTTTTCATTCATAAATATAGAAAGATCTAGGTTATCATTCATAAATATAGAAAGATCTACCCTTTGTTTTCTAGGATTACCTCTTACTTCCTATCTTTCTTGGAAACCATATATCAAATCAATTGCAAAATTAACATCTGCTAAGGTTACATCTTTTTATCTTGCTCGCCACTTTCTTACTCAAGATTCTAGTCTTTATCTCTGTAAATCTCAAATCTCTCCTTGTTTTGACTACTGTTGCCATATCTAGGGCACATCTTCAAATAATGCCCTTTCTCTTTTAGAAAATGTGAATATTCAGAAGAACAGTCCACAAGTACCAGCAAGAACTACAGCAAAATCGAAACTGCAACCAAATTAGTAACATTTTCAAAGTTATCAACTAGCAAAGCAGCAACCATTTGTTGACAGTTATCTCAAGATAGAATTGATATTTAGACACTTTCACAGTATGGTATATTCAGGTCAATTATTAAAGAAGCTGTTAAATTTAAAGAAGAACTAAAAAAAACACTATATTTAGAAATTTGGTCACCTGAATATGATTGTTAGTCAGTTAAAAAGATGTTTTACTGAAAAGAAACCGGAAGAGCCACAATTCATTGGTTGTTAACATAATGTTTTTAACAGAGTCCTTCGCATAGTAATGGATAAAGAACTTGGAGGATAAAGAACTTGGGTATAGAATGGATGGATAGATAAAGAATTTGGACAACATGTCGCCCAAAATCTAATATCCGTTTATCCTGAAACTTGTAAAGAACTATAAGTTGCCTAATAGGAAGAATTTCAAGAATGGTAAAAAAGTTATTATTATGATTACTGAAACAGCATTTCTATTTCATTTAACCCAGATATACCGTTTTTGTGAAGAACCTGGATTGTTTCCTAAAGTAAAGTTTCAGAAAATACCTAAATTAAATAATGCAAGATGGAATTCCTGAACAATATTAGCTCTATTGGCATTAGTTCTTCTACCAGTGAGAAGAGTCTTTTTTTTCTAGTGGAACAGTTCTTCTTTTCTTATGTGACTCATAAAATTGTATTTTCAGTCTTAATGGTTCCTGATTTAAAGTACACAAATGTACAATGCAGATGATTATCTGAAGCTACGTAACAACTTCCACAATTACAAAAAAATATTAAATTTAGTGAGAAAGTTTTTACATCAGTAACCATTGAGACTGAAAAATCCCAGAGCAAATCAGTGTGCAGAACAAGTAACCAAATGTTTTGAAGATCTTTATGACACCAGTAAAAAAAAAAAGAGAACCTTCAGCTTACATTTATTTTGTCTAATAAAGTATAAGAATTGTATATTATGCTTTAATAAAGCTGAATACACGCAATAATTTTTTGTTATATACTTATATATATATATATATATATATATATATATATATATATATATATATATATATATATATATATATATATATATATATATATATATATATATATTTCAAAACTATATATATATATATAGTTTTGAAATGTCAACTTTTAACTAATTTAAATTTTTTTAGGGTGTGAAACTTTTTGATAACTTTATTGAAGCTAACGGAAGAAGAACACTTATTTTTTTCTATCAGGATTCAAATGAGGACAGCAGTAAATAACCTCTGTTTTTATTTTATGGTTTTTAATCACTATTTAAATTATTATATAGTTAATTAAGAAAACAGTAACATGTTTAATATTATTATCTTATTATTATCTTTTAATATACGTTAGTTGGGTCATTCTAGCTCACTTCAACTTATGCTTGAAATCATACAATCTCAGATTCTGATGATTATTGGTTTACAAAGTTAAATTAATGAAAGAAACATCACTTCAAATTTTATTGTCCAACTCCTTATGGTTTCAGATAGGTAGTCTGTCCCAACTTTTGTTTTGACTTTTTTAGAGCCATTGTTTTTTGTTTTTTAAATCTAATTCATTTTCATTCAAAGTTTTAAAATATTAAACATAATAGTAAATTATAAAAATAAACCAAAATAAATAAAAATTAAGAAAGAATTAAAAATACTAAAATTAAAATGCAACAAAAACAAACTCTAAAATCTTAAATATTTTATTAAAAATTTACTTTAAAAGCTAGCAATTCAAGTTAGTCTTTTCACAGTTGCACCAATACCATTACAGAATGATTTATCATGCTTGTTGTAAATAAAGTACCATGTACATTAGCCTAGGGTGAAAAAATAAATTAGTTATGGAAAACTGTTTTTTGGTGCACAAGAATGAGAGGAATGAAAGTGCAATATAGATATATAGCTATATAAAGAAAATGTAAGCAATAAAAATAATTATGTGTAAGTGGTGGTTCTGTGATTTGAACAAAACTCCAATTGATTAGATCATCTCAGCATTTATGTTGGTTTCTAGTACTTGAAATTATTTAGTTTTAAGGGTTGTCTTTGAGAATTAGTTTCTTAATTAGAGAACAATGTCTGTAGCTTTAAAATGCTTGTTTTTGTTGAGGTCAGTCATTATCAATGAAGTAACATTTTCAGGATGAGCAAAGTAGGCATTTCGTTTAATGTAAGGTTTAACAATATCGACTGAAAAATCCTGGAAAACCATGCCCACTACTCTCCATATGACAATGTTGTGTTCCAGTAAGATTGAGCACTACATATGTCCCATAACAGGCCTTGTTTTAAAGCGTAAAATGGTGCATCATTTATGTACATGTTAAGCCAATAATTGTTAGTGTTAAGCCATTTCAGTCGAGCCATTTTTTATCATTTTTTTAATATTTAAACAAGTCTATCATTTAAGTGGTAAAATAAAAAAGTTAATTAACATTATGAAAACCACTTATGAAGTTTGAATGATGATTAGGTAAAAAAGTTTTAAATGACAATTACATTTGATATTAGTGACAAGTTAAAAAAAAAAAAGTTTTTTTTTTTATCAACTAAACTTTTTTTTTTTATCAAAAATGTTCAGCAAAAGAAAAAAATAAATATATCGCGCATTATAAAAAAAATCATAAAAGAAATAAAATAAGAAAAACTTTTGTTTATCATTTTGCAAGTGCAAGAATATTTATATAATAACCAAAAATAATTACAAAAATTTTTTTTTTTAAGAAATAAACAAAAAAAAAATTATTAGTTAAAAAGTACACATTAAATTTTAATTCATATTAGAGCCACTTTTGATATCTTAGTTTTTTTTTGTTTGTTTTCTTATAATGATTGATTTTATCAAAAAAATGAAAAAATATTATTACTTTAAATGGTACGATTGAATAAATGCAAATTTCATAAGTGCAAACTTGTATAAGTGTGAAACTGGCATAAGTGTGAATCAGTTGCAAAAACTAGCTCAAGTGCGAACTGGTATAAGTGCAAACTGGCATAAGTGCGCCAAAAGAGTTTGCAAATAATGGCATAAGTACAAATTGGTATAAGTGCACTAAATAAACTTGCAAACATTGGCATAAGTGCGAATTGGCATAAGTACAAAATGCCAATTTGCAATTATGTAAATATTTGCAATTTTATTTGGCGTACTTATGCCAATTCGCACTTATGCCACTTTTTGTAGCTGCTTTGCACTTATGCCAATTTGCACTTATGACAGTTTGCACTTACGCCAATGTTTGCAAATTTATTTGGTGCATTTATTCCAGTTTGTACATATGCCAGTTTGCACTTATGCTAGTTTTTGCGATTGCATACAGTATAATTAGTAACATTAAATACTTCTATGCAATTGTTATCATATTTTTTTAGTAAGGGAAGGTTGCATAAGAGGAACAGGTTTCTAAGATGGTATAACCTCTTTTACGGGTAGGCTACTGATTTTTTTGCAATTTTTTTTGGTTAAGTATATTATACAAGTTCAATGGTGTTATTTATTTTAGTTTCTTGGTTGTATAGTTAATATCCTTTCATTGTTTTATTGTTAAAAAAATTCACCATCCCCGTTATAGTTTTTTATTATTCAATATTTTGTAATTATGTCAAAACAAAGCAAGATCATAAAAAAATATTATATCCTCAATATTTTATTCTTATCTACTGTTAATTCCATGGGTTATATGAGATATATACTAACATATACATACAAATATAACATATACATACTAACATATAACATATACTTTCATCATACTTTTTAAATTATGATTGTACTTGATAAAGTTGCTTAAGATAATATGTTTTGAGATGTTCATGATGAGATGTGGCTTTTTGTTAAGAAAAGCGTGTTTTTTCAAGTTATTCTCTATGGAGCTTTATTTTGGTATTTCAAGAGCGAAAGTTTTTTTAAAAAATTTTGCAAAAGTATTGCAAATTATTTTAGAGATAAGAAAGCTTTATTAATTTTTTTTTAATGGTTTTTATGTATTACTTTTTACTTTAAGAAGTCCTTAAAGATACAATTTTAATTAATTTTTGCTTTTTGTGATTATAATATGTCATTTTAAGTTTTTTTAAGTGCTATTGAAAAAAGCTTATCTTAGGAAACTGATTTTATAAGAGGAGATGATTGGGTGCGTTGAAAATAATGCAATTTTTGGTTTAAAGATTTTTTTAATGAAATATTCATATATATTCTTTAAGAGGAAAGACTAAATTATGATAATCGGCATTAATTTTGGCAAATTTTGGCATAATTTTGGCTGCAAAAAATGCAACCTTCCCCTATATCCATGTCATTTAGTTTAGATTTAACATATTTAGATTCTTCAACTACTTGGCTTAATTGAGCAGGATCTATATTTAAAGCCTTGTTGTCCCTATTTTTAGCATGCATTTTTCTTTTTAAAATTTGTTTATAGTAAATTTATTATCATCATCTTCATAAATCTGGCTGCAAGTTGGTTTTTTTAGCCATCCTTATATGAAATCAATTTAATCTTTCATATCTTTTCTCCAGGAATAACATTAATACCAATATTTTTCTAATTTTCTAAGTTTAACATTAATTTACTTACATTCCCATAAAAACATGAATGATGATTAAATCTTTAAATATCGAATATATTCATTTGATTCAGTGAATATTTTGAATAAAATATCTTTCTTATATTTAGAATAAAGTTTTATAAACAATTCATAATAAAGTATTAATTTAATAATGATGTTCATGACGTTGGCAAACTATTACAGGGTTCGTACTGTACCTGGAAAACCTGGAAAACCTGGAAAATCAGCCAAATTTGGATAAAGTCATGGAAAACCTGGAAAAGTCAGGGAAATTTTTTTTTTTTCTAGGTAGTCAGGGAAAAGTCAGGGAATTCTGATTGAGAAACTACTCGTTTTACAAATAAGCTATTATGTTTCTGTTGATGCTTCCCATTTATTTTGACAATTAAAAAATACCCTATAGTGTTTCACACCTTTACCACGCATATAATATTTTATTTTTAAAAATTTAACCACGGCTTTTTAACTTTTTTAAAACTTGAATATTTTTAAATGTATTTTAATAGGCAAAACGCTCTTATTACTAACAATTGTTTTAAAATATTATTCAATAAAAATATTTTATTTAAATTGTCTATGGTTATTATTTTATTTTTACAATAATAGTGTATGTTTCTTTTTTTTATTTATTATAAAAAAAATAATTCCTTTTTTTTATTTATTATAAAAAAACTAATTTTTTATGATCAATTTCAATCGTTTAAAACTATTTCTGTAATTTATTCTCTAAACAACAGCATCTTTAACTTTAAACGTTTTTGTGTCTTTAAAGTGAAAAACTTCTTTTTTTATTTTAAGTTACATAAGTTACAGAAAGTTTCAAAGATTTTCAACTTTGTTGAAAACTTTTGAAAGTTTTTATTAAAAAAGTAATGGTTTCTATAAGCATTACAATGACTATTAGATTAAAATCCTTGTGAAAATGAATTTTGAAAATTAAAAAAAGGTTTTTAAAGTAGTTAATACAATGAAATTTGTTACAGTGCCCTATGTTATAAATATAAATCATTTTGAAATATTTTGTTTCCATTTTTAGAATTAAAATAATGAATAAAATAGAAAAAAAAGCTTATTTTAAAGAAGAATGGTTAAATAAAGACATTTACTCTCATTTTGACTCTTGGCTAATGAAAGGAAAAAATAACACCCAGGCAAGATGCAAATTATGCAATAAATTAATTGAACTTTCAAACATGGGTATTCAAGCAATAAAAAGTCACGAGAAAGGAAAAAATCATGTTTCAGTTGCAAGCAATTTCTCTTGTTTTTTTAAATCATCTGGCTCTAAAAATACTAATTCACCTAATTCAGTAGAAGAGTCTAATTTAAAGACAACTGATAGTTTCTCAACAGGACAAATGAAGCAGCAATCTTTAGAACTCATCGTATCAAGTTCTAATAAAATCTGTGCAGAAATTATGTGGGCATTGCATTGTTGCTTAAATAGAATCTCTAACAATTCAAACAAAAATGTGACAAATTTGTTTCAAGCAATGTTTCCTGACAGTGAGATTGCTAAATCTTTACAAATGGGACCAAATAAAGTTGGATATAGCATCACTCATGGTCTTGGGCCTTATTTTAAAGGTTTACTTAAACAACAAATGAGCCTGTCTCCTTGGCTTGTTGTATCCTTTGATGAATCCCTCAACAAAAAAACTCAAACTTGTCAAATGGATTTACTCATCCGGTATTGGAATGAGGAAAAAATGCAAGTTGAAGTGAGGTATTGGGATTCCTCATTTATGGGACATAGTACTAGTCTTGATTTGGTAAATCATTTTAATGAAAAGATAAGTGATATTAATATCAGCAAAATTGTTCAGGTCTCTATGGATGGACCCAGTGTCAACTTGAAATTTCACAGAGACATTCAAAGCAAACGTGAAGAGCACGAATTATCTAAACTTATTGACATAGGCTGCTGTTCTCTACACATAATTCATGGTGCTTTCAAAACAGGAGTAGAATCAACTGATTGGGAACTTAAAAAGACATTTAAAAGCTGCTTTACCTTATTTCATGATTCTCCTGCCAGAAGAAGTGACTTTATCAGTATCACTGAAGGTTCTGTGTTCCTGCTTTCATTTTGCGCAACCAGATGGGTTGAAGACAAAAAGGTAGCGGATAGATTAATTAGTATTTGGCCATCTATTATAAAAATTGTTAATTATTGGGAGTCTCTGCCTAAAAGTAAACGACCATCTTGCAAATCATATAAGTTTGTTGTAAATGCTGTTAAAAAAGAACTTTCTCTTGTAAAATTTCAGTTTTTTAGCTACCTGGCAAGCATGTTTGAACCGTTTCTGAAGCTCTATCAGACAGATGCTCCAATGTTGCCTCACATGAATGGTGATCTTGTGCAGTTGATTAAGAGTATTCTTAAGATGTTTATTAAATCTGAAACTATTGAGGCTACCTCAAAACTTACCAAAATTGATCTGCAAAATAAAGAGAACCATTTGAAACCCAGTGAAATTGATATTGGGTTTGCTGCTGAATTATCACTGTCAAAGCTCAGAAAAAATGATGCAGTTATTTTGAAGGATATGAAAGAATTTAAAATTCAATGCATGCACATTTTAATTTCAGCTGCTGAAAAGTTATTTAAAAGATGTCCCCTTGATTCTGTGATTGTTAACACGAGTACTTGTTTGCTTCCAAATTTTTATGCTCAGATCACACCTGAAAAAAATAGGAATCAAATGAAAATATTGCTGCATCATCTTATTTCACTTGGAATATTAACTGCTTCTTATTCTGACAAAGTTATCAGCCAGTTCTCAAAGTTTATTTCATCAGAATTTGCTCTGAATCAGGATGTTTTCATTAGTTATGATCGAAATAATAAACGTCTTGATGATTTTTACTTCAAAAACATTGACATAAAAAAGTATCCAGAGTTGTCATCTGTCATTAAGTTGGTTTTGACTCTGAGTCATGGACAGGCATCAGTTGAACAGGGGTTTAGTGTCAATAAGGATGTGGTTACCGATAATATATCAACAGATGGTATTGTTGAACGGCGTCTTGTGCGTGATTTCATGCTTACCAACAACCTCAACCCCCACTCTGTCCAGATTACATCAGAAATGAAAGTTGCCTTTAAATCTGCCCATCAAAAATACCAGATCATGCTTGAGGAACAGAAGTCAAAGAATAAAAAACATGCTATGTTAGATCAGAAAGCCATTATTTTGTCTGAAATTGAAGAGCTAAAATCTAAAATGGGTTTCCTTACAAAAACTTCATTGATGCTAGAAAAAGAGTTTGTCTTAACTGTGGAACAAGCGGAAAAAGAAAACAATTTATCATTGGTCAGCAAAGCGAATGCTTTAAAAAGGAAAAGCGAGGAGAAAATGAAAGACGTAGCTAAGTTGCAGGAAACATTATTGATATTAGAAGAGAAGAGAAAGAAACTGAATTAACAATAGTTGCTTTTTGACAATTTGTTTGTTTATATAAAATATTATTTATGTTGACATTTATGCAAATATGGCTAATTAAAAAACTTTAATTATATTTTCAATATAAGATTTTGCTTAAAAAATATATGCAATTTAAAATTAATTAAAAGTTTTTTTTTTAATGTTTCTAAGCATGTTTGGTTATACTGTGCTATTTTTATCTAAAAGTATTATTGAATTAGCGAAGGTACAGCTACAAATAGTGATAAAAAACAACTAACCCAAAATAGTCTCTGTTATAGACCAAATATTGCTCAAAATGTTGAAAGATATCTACATAGACATTTTAGTTTATTTTTGTGTTAGTGAAAAATAATTATATATAAAATATTTTATGTGCATAATATTTAGATTTTCTTGAAGATCATCTGAAACTAAATTTTATGTGCATAATATTTAGATTTTTTAAGAAGCTCACCTGTTGTTTATTCTTAGTCATCCTTAATAATATGCATAATAAAATCTATACTAACATCCAACTTAACTAATAGCTAAGTTTTATAAGTTTTGTCATTCTAAGCATGTACATTGTAGCATTTTCATTACAGTAGTAATTTTTAACATTTTATAAAAACCATTGCAAATGTTAAAAATGGTCAGGGAAATTCATCTGATTTTTCAAAAAAGTCAGGGAAAAGTCAGGGAAATTTTTATAAATATGTGGCTACGAACCCTGTATTATACTTTTGTTCTTTTCCTAAAATGACTAATTATCAAGTCTATATCATTGAGACTTAAAACTTTCTTGATATCTATGGATTTTACATAAGTATGTTTGTGAGAAATTTCTTTTTTTATTAATCTAATTAACTTTCTCTTTCATTCATATTGCTATTTCAGTAACTTTAAAATAATCACTAAATGAAAATTTTCAAACAGACTTTTAGCTAATAAAGAAAATCCTTGAAGTTTTTTTTGTATTTTGGAGTTTGTTACATATACAACCATGGAAAAAATTTCAACATCATATCTTTTAGGCATCTCAACACTTCTTTTTGTACAGATTATCAGAAAACCTAAGAAACATGTAAGGTCATTTTGAACTAAAATTTTTACACAGACACTTTGACTTAGTGTTGTTTTAACCATCACTTATAAATTCTTCATCTTAAAAAGTAGTTAAAAAAAATTTAGTTACTTAAAACTAATTGTATGAGACAAATATGCCTAATTGATCAATAACCCTAGAAAAACTAGTAAAAAAAGAGATTGGGACAGAGTATCCGTATCTTTGAAACTATACCTCTGAAACTGTAAGAAGTTGGATGCTAAGACTTGGAGGGAAGTCTCATTAATTTAAGCTTTTATACCAAAAATCATCAAAAGGTAGTTTTAGTTGTTATTAAAAGAAATAGGATAGTTGTATTATTAGATGATTGAAAAGTTAGTTTTAAATTGCAAATTTGTTTAATTTTAGGGATTGAAGTTAGTTCTAGAAGCATCCAGTCAAGTGAACCTAAAGAGCTTTTTATAACAGATGGATTTGGAAAACCATTAACTGGTCTTCTTCTATATTTTGTTAAATCTAGTACAAAAGCTTTGAAATTAATAAACATGCATGAGGTTTTGAGTTATAGTTATATT